TATCTGGAGCGTGCGCACACTTGACCACACTGTGACAGTGCCCAGGCTCGGACCCAACCTTGCTCTGAGATTGGAGTGGGTGCTGGGAGTGAGGAGAGGCCAGGCAGTGGGAGCAAACACTTCTGAACCTGCAGTGGCTGGGCGGGGGGCCTTTCCAGGCCTCTGAGAGTGCAGAGATGCCTGGGTCTGCAGCTGCAGGTTGGGCGGCTGCAGCTGTGCCTGGGAGGGTGGGGCTCCTGCCTACTCCCATCCCCCAAGAGCACAGTGATGCCCAGGTCTGCAGCGCACCTGGGTGGGTGGCCACAGCTGCACCCAGGGAGCGCGAAATTCCTGCCCTGTCATCTCAGAAGGTGGCGGGGCTCCCACCTGTTCCTGGCTTCTGCTGCCTCCGTGGAGCATGCAGTTCTGGCTGCACCTCCCCCACTGCAGCTGGTGTCATGGCAGTGGCCGCTGTTGATGGGCCGCTGCTGCCTTTGGTGGCACGCACTTATAGTCACAACTACTCGGGAGACTGAAGCAGGAGGATCACTTGAGCCCAGAAGGTTGAGGCTGCAGTGAGCCATGATTGTGCCACTGTACTCCAACCTGCATGACAGAGACAGACCCTGGCTCTATAAAACAAAAACAAATACAAAAACAAAACAACAACAAAATAAAATGAGTTAATGGAAAAGGAGCTGTAGGAGTAAGAAAAAGAGGAAGACTACAAGAAAAATAACTATGTGAGGACACTTTCAAGAACTAGAAATCGGCTGCTTTAGTCATGCCATAGTGTGGTGTGTTAAAATGAAAAATGAGGAAAGACCTTTGGATTACCAACTCTGGAATTTCGTGACTTTTCCAGAGCATTGTCAGGTAGCTTGCTATGTGGGAAGAGTGGTAAGGGAGTAGAAAGTGAGTTCCCAAACACTTGGGAATACAGTGATTTTCAAATACTATTTTCTGGATCAGCAATAACAGAATTACCTACGTTTCCTCAACTCATAACTATTGTTGAGCCTGGTAATGTACATTTAAAAAAAATATTCATTTATTTATTTATTTAGGGATGGAGTGTCACTCTTGTTGCCCAGGCTGGAGCGCAGTGGTGTGATCTTGGCTCACTGCAAGCTCCGCCTCCTGGGTTCACGCCATTCTCCTGCCTCAGCCTCCCGAGTAGCTGGGACTACAGGTGCCCGCCACCACGCCCGGCTAGTTTTTTGGATTTTTTAGTAGAGATGGGCTTTCACCATGTTAACCAGGATGGTCCTGATCTCCTGACCTCGTGATCCATCCGCCTGGGCCTCCCAAAGTGCTGGGATTACAGGCATGAGCCACCGTGCCTGGCCGGTAATATATGTTTTGAAAAAGTTCCCCGGATGATTTTAATGAAAGCTCATGTCTCGCATTTGCAAATACAGATTTTTGAAGTATTTTAGCAAGGACTGGCTTGTGATCAAGATGGATTTCTGAGTGGTATTTTGAGACAAACCCTCCTTTTTGTAAAACGAAAACCAAAAAAACAAAGCATTAATTGATAAAATAACAAAGATAAAACCAAATTGACAAAACTAGGGCTCAAAAAACGTAAACATTTCTGTGTTTCAGGAAGGAGCAGGTGAGGTTTTGGCTGCTTTGAAGTAATAGGGAAGTGTAATTAGAGTTGGGCTTATTGTTGGAAACAGTGGACCAAGATAGGACTCCTCTGTTAAAAAAGATGTTTCTGAGTTTACTTCCAGGGCTGCCATATTATATAACTTTAGGGATTAGATTGTAGTTACTTAGTACAGTGATCTTTAACCTTTTTGGCACCAGGGACTGGTTTCATAGATGACAGTTTTTCCACAGATGGGGTAGTAGGGGATGGTTTCGGGATGAAACTAGTCTGCCTCAGATCATCAGGTATTAGGTCATCAGGCATTAGTTAGATTCTCATAAGGAGCATGCAATCTAGATCCTTTTCATGTGCAGGTCACAATAGTGCTTATGCTTCTATGACAATCTAATGCTGCTGACTATCTGACAGGAGGCAGAGCCCAGGCAGTAATGCTCACTCACTTGCTGCTCATCTTCTGCTGTGCGGCCCAATTCCTGACAGGCCATGGACTGTCACTGGTCCATGGCCCAGTGGTTGGGGACCCCTTGACTTAGCACATCTTCTAGAGTGGTACAGGTCACAGCCTCTCTGGCTGTAAGAAGATTTGCTGCTGACTGCTGCCAGATGCCATAGCTTATATGAACCAAATACTTAGGGATTCAGGAAACTAAACATAGCTATACAACTAGGAACCTGGTAACTCAGAGTATATCCTCACTGTTATTGTAGAGCAGAATCTTCATCTAGACTATCTGTAAGAAAACTGTTTATGAGATAACTGAGGAAATTTGAATATCAATTGATCATTTAATACCAAAAATTTTTAGTTAAAAAATATATTTATGATACTGTGGTTCTCTTTAAAAAGTAGTAAACAGGTTCTCAGTAAGTGTTTGTATGAAAAACAAAAGAAGTTCCATCAAAAGTCCACTTGTAAAGCTAAATTCTCAAACATACAAAGTCATCTCATGCTAAGGAGGATATGAAATAAACAACCAGAAGAGCAGTTCAGTCTGGATGACGCTTCAATGTTAGTCTGAAAAATATTAAATTACATACTCAGGATTTTCAAAAAGAAAAGGAGTAATAGCCCTTAAGTATAAATAATTTCGGAATGTAAACTGGCAGAAAAAAGATCAGGTGGATTTGAAAATGACAAAAACTTTAGAATGAAAAATATAGTTGTAATTTTTAAAAGCCAACAGCATGGTGTTCATGAATGAGAAGAGTCAATAAGATGTCAGTTATGTCCAATATTAATCTGTAAAATCAATACAGTATTAAAATCTGAAAAGGTTTTTATTCATGATAGTAAACATGTGAACTTAAACATTTTTATGGTAGAGTAAATAGCCAACGTAAAATTTGTAAAGAACAACACATTCAGGTAATGTGCCCTTCAGATACCAAAATTTATTATAGGACTGTAGTAATTAACAGAGGTTCGGGGTGGAAAAATAGACCTATGGAATAGAATATAGAGCCCAGAACAGATTGATAGGTACAAATCCATAGATGGAATCTATTTTTAGTATGCTATGAGATAGGACTGTTAATTTTCTTCACTTCAACTCAGATTAGCAATTGAACCAGTACCACAGGGAAATGTTTATCCTTTCCTAACTAGTTTTTTTTAAATTTTTTTTTTTTGAGACAGAGTCTCACTCTGTCACCCAAGCTGGAGTGCAAGGGTGCGACCTTAGCTCACTATAACCTCTGCCTCCCAGGATCAAGTGATTCTCCTGCCTCAGGCCTCTGGGTAACAGGGATTACAGGGACGTGCCACCTTGCCTGGCTAATTTTGTATTTTTAGTAGAGACAGGGTTTCACCATGTTGGCCAGGCTGATCTTGAACTGCTGACCTCAGGTGATCCGCCCGCCTTGGCCTCCCAAAGTGCTGAGATTACAGCTATGAGCCACCACCTGGCCTATATGTCTGGGGTTTTTTTGTATGTTCTGTATTAATCTGTGTGTTTGAAAGACCATCTTGGCAAAAGGGAAAAAATAGTTTCTTGATTAGAAGACTGACAAATATATAGTAGTATGAAAGGATAGAGAGTACCCTGGGCAACATGTTGAAACCCCGTCTCTACTAAAAATACAAAAATTTAGCCAGGCAAGGTGGCGCACACCTGTAGTCCCAGCCAGGTTGAGGTGAGAGAATCACCAGAGCCAGGGAAATGGAGGGTGCAGTGAGCCAAGATCACGTCGCTGTACTCTAGCCTGGGCGACAGAACAAGACCCTGTCTCAAAAAAACAAAACAAAACAAAACAAAAAACAAAAAAAGGGAAGTAACTGAAAGTATTTCTTATTATTTTTTTAATAGCACATCATCCTTATATGTTAAAGGATGAAATAAATAAGGGAAATATTGATGACACATGAGAGTGTTTTTTTTGGGGGACATATAACTAACTAATGAAGATGATAAGAAATAGGTTTTATCAGCCCTGGAAAGTGTGTGGGGCATATTTTCTCAGTAGAAGACAGGAATGGAATAAGATAGATGAGGTAAAGATAGGAATAAATTTTGAGTTGGAGAAGCCATTTGAAGGAAATCACTGTTTTCTCAGTGAGGTATAAAAGTTGAAATCGTTCTTCTAGAAGTGTGATACACTGTATATGAGGTTTGAGAAGATGGGAAGAAAATGCAGAATACTTGTAAGGAATGCAATAAATAAGGTTAGGTAAAAAGATATAGTGGTAGCATTGAAGGACAAAGGGAAGCTGAATAAAATTTGTAGTGGTGCCTAGTTGTATAATTTTGTTAAATTTACTCAGCAAGTCGGGGGAAGGATTCTTTTATTGCTCTTGCCAAACTCCCTTCTTCCCACCTTGTGGGAGGGAGGGAGTCAGAACCTAGAATTCCTTGAAAATATATGTCTATCTCTTTAGTTGGTTTCTCTCATCATTTTCTTGGTTTTATGTAATTTCTCTGTTTATCCATCTTCTTACTGTTTTTAACAAATTTAACAAAATGTTTGCTCCATTGTTGGAATTCTTTCTTGTTTTTGCTTTATCCTTAAGAAATTTTGGGTACAGGGCAGTTAGATTTGCATGATTATTCTGTCTTAATCCAGTCTTTGTTAAGTATAAGGAAAGAACTTGGTTCTAATCACAATTTCTTTAAAAACATTTGAGACAGCAGGGGAAACATTTTTCTTTCTACTCTTTGGATTTTTGTATAATAAAACATTGAAATATATGTTTTTTTGGCAAGTTACTATTTTTAGAAAGTGCCTAAATTTGGACAGTGAAACTTAATATTATGTGGTCTCAATGAAACTGTTGCTGTGCTAAGACACAAGTTAGTATTTTGTGTTTTAGAAGATGTAATCAACATGCTTGTTAAGCTTTTCTTTCTTGAACATCAGAAAGCAATGCATATTTACTTCTAAATATTTTGCATCTTTTATGTTACAGTTATTTTACCAAGAAAATGGTTTGCACGACTTTGAACATATACTATCCATGCTGATGGGACAGGATCCAATATGAATATAAATGATGGAGGAAGACGACGCTTTGAAGATAATGAACATACATTACGGATCTATCCTGGGACTATTTCAGAAGGGACAATCTACTGTCCTATTCCTGCCAGAAAAAACTCCACAGCTGCTGAGGTGATTGAGTCTCTTATAAACAAACTTCATCTTGACAAAACAAAATGTTATGTTCTAGCGGAGGTAAAGGAATTTGGTGGAGAAGAATGGATTCTCAATCCAACAGACTGTCCAGTTCAGCGAATGATGTTGTGGCCCCGAATGGCTCTGGAAAATCGCTTAAGTGGAGAGGACTACCGCTTTCTTCTGAGAGAGAAAAACCTTGATGGATCGATCCATTATGGTAGCCTGCAGTCATGGCTACGGGTAACAGAAGAACGTCGCAGGATGATGGAACGGGGTTTTCTTCCACAGCCTCAACAGAAAGACTTTGATGACTTATGTAGTTTACCTGATTTGAATGAGAAAACTCTCTTAGAAAACCTACGAAATCGCTTTAAGCATGAAAAAATTTATACCTATGTTGGCAGTATTCTAATAGTTATTAACCCATTCAAGTTTCTTCCTATTTATAACCCCAAATATGTCAAAATGTATGATAACCACCAACTGGGAAAACTTGAGCCCCACATTTATGCTGTGGCTGATGTAGCTTATCATGCCATGCTTCAGCGCAAAAAGAATCAGTGCATCGTGATTTCGGGAGAGAGTGGTTCTGGGAAGACTCAAAGCACAAACTTTCTTATTCACCACCTTACCGCTCTCAGTCAGAAAGGATTTGTCAGTGGAGTAGAACAGATTATTCTTGGAGCTGGACCAGTACTTGAGGTAAATATATAGAAATCTTGTTTTTGATTTTAATTTTAATTTTTATCCTTTGAGGTGGGGGGGGTGCACCATTCCTGGAGGTATTGCAATACCGGATCAATGTGTGGAGTAGATCAAGCAAGATCCTATTCCATCTCCCTGCTTCAAAAACTCATTTAGAGTTGGGCGCAGTGGCTCGTGCCTGTAATCCCAGCACTTTGGGAGGCCGAGGTAGGTGGATCGCCTGAGGTCAGGAGTTCCAGACCAGCCTGACCAACATGCAGAAACCCGTCTCTACTGAAAATACAAAAAAAAATTAGCCAGGCGTGGTGGTGCATGCCTGTAATCCTAGCTACTCGGGAGGCTGAGGCGGGAGAATTGTTTGAACCCGGGAGGCGGAGGTTGTGGTGAGTCGAGATCATGCCATTGCACTCTAGTCTGAGCAACAAGAGCGAAACTCCGTCTCAAAAACAAAACAAAACAAACAAAATTGTCTTTGGATAGAAGACATTCCAGATATTAAACTGATAAAAACAAAACTACACTTGATCTTAGCCAGAAGGCTGAGAAGCTATAGAAATACTGTTCTTGCTACTCTGGGCACACTGCCTGCAGGGTAGCCCTGCTCCACAAGGAGCAGCAATTTAAAAAAAAAGAAAGAAAAATACTGTTCTTATTCTTAAACATATCTTTAAAAAATATTTGATAGATGTGAGAAGATGGAGTAAAACTAAATAGAAGTGTAGACATTATTTTTAGTAACCAAGAGGAACTGGAGGATGGGAAAGCAAAAAAGGTGGTGTGGAAGATTGAGGAGTGTGACAGTGGTAATTTTTTTTTTTAAGTGAGTGTCTTTGGGTCATTAATGATGCAAAGAAAGAGATGACTGTAGTCATTGTATATCCTCCTGTAAGGGGAGAAAGCACAGGCAGGTCCTGTCTAACTGCATTGTGATGGTTGGTGAGAATATTTTTGCTGATGTATTTGTATTTCTGCAAGCTTAACAGCTGTGCCTAGCATTGAAACTTGTAATAATGTAGAGAATATGGAAAAAAATGTTTAGTTGTGGAATGTTTTACAAGTAATACCATCCAATGTCCAAAGGAAAGATAATACAGAAGGATAAGTACTCCACAATCTCACTTATATGTGGAATCTGAAAAGTTGAATGCATAGAAACAAAGAGCAAAGTGGTAGTTACTAAAGGCTGGGGGAATTGGAGAGATATTGGTCAAAGGACACAAATTTTTTAGTTATATAGGAGGAATAAGGTCAAGAGATCTGTTGTACATCATGATGACTATAGTAAGTAACAATACATTATATACTTGAAAATTTCAGGCCGGGCGCGGTGGCTCATGCCTGTAATCCCAGCACTCTGGGAGGCCGAGACGGGCGGATCATGAGGTCAGCAGATCGAGACCATCCTGCCTAACACAGTGAAACCCCGTCTCCACCAAAAAATAAAATACAAAAAACTAGCCAGGCTAGGTGGCGGGCACCTGTAGTCCCAGCTACTCGGGAGGCGGAGGCAGGAGAATGGCGTAAACCCGAGAGACGGAGCTTACAATGAGCCGAGATCCAGCCACTGCACTCCAGCCTGGGTGACAGAGTGAGACTCCATCTCAAAAAAAAAAAAAAAAATTTCTTTCTTTCTTTTTTTTCTTTTGAGACAGAATTTCGCTCTTGTTGCCAGGCTGGTGCGCGATGGTGCGATCTCGGCTCACTGCAACCTCAGGGTTCAAGGGATTCTTCTGCCTCAGCCTCCCGAGTAGCTGGGATTACAGGCATGTGCCACCACACCTGGCTAATTTTGTATTTTTGGTAGAGACAGGATTTCTCCATGTTGGTCAGGCTGGTCTTGAACTCCCGGCCTCAGGTGATCCACCTGCCTTGGCCGCACAAAGTGCTGGGATTATAGGCATGAGCCACTGCCCCCAGCCTATACTTGAGAATTTCTAAGAATAGATTTTAACTAGTCTCAGTACAAAAAATGGTAAGTATTGTGAGGTAATACATAAATTAAGTAGCTTGATTTTGCCATTCTACACTGCAGACATATGAAAACATCATGTTATATACCATAAATATATGCAATTTTTGCTTGTCAATTTATAAAAAAAAAAAAAAGGAAAGGGAATATAGTGTTGGTTTTAGACCTGAAAGGAAAAGGTAATATTACTTAGTTGTCTTTTTAAAAGGTATTTTGTAGGTATAATTGAAATACAGTAAACTGTGTACATTTAAAGTGTACAATGTGATAAACTTTGACATGTATATACCCATGAAACCACCACAGTCAAGATACTGAACATATCCATTATCCCCAAAGTTTCTTCATACCTCTTTGTAATCCCTCTTTCACACTCCTTCCCATATACACCCCACCCATATATGGGAAACCAGTTAAGTTCTTTCTGTCACTGTAGATTAGTTTGCTTTTTCTACTATTTTATGTACATGGAACCACATAGTATGTACCCTTTTATATTTGGCTTCTCCCACTTGGTATAATTATTTTGAGATTTATCCATGTTGTTGCATGTGTCAATAATACATTCCTTTTTGTTGCTAAGGTAATAGTATTCCATTGGATATCATAATTTTTTAAATCTATTCACTTGTTGATGGATATATGGGTTGTTTTTAATTTTTGGCTATTATATTCAAGTTTATATAGACATACATTTTTTTCTCTTCAGTAATTATCTAGGAATGGAATGACTAGATCAGATGATAAGTATGTGTTTAACTTTTTATTAAGTTCTTTAATTTCTCTTGGCAGTATTTTATAGTTATTATTGTACAGATCTTTTACATCTTTGGTAAGATTTATCTCTCAGTATTTTTGAGGATGTTATTATAAATGGTGTTCTACAATTTTCAATTGTTTGTTGCTAGTATATAGATATACAGTTGATAGTTACATGTTGATCTTCTGCAACCTGGCTAGACTTAAGTATTAGTGCCATTAACCTTTTTTTTTTTTTTTTTTTTTTGAGACGGGGTCACCCTCTATTGCCTAGGCTGGAGTGTAGCGATGTCATCACAGCTCACCGCAGCTGCAATCTCCAGGCTCGAGTGATCCTCCCTCCTTAGCCTCCTGAGTAGCTGGCCTTATTGGCCTGTGTCGCTATGCTGGGCTACCTTTTTTTTTTTTTTTTTTTTAGTAGTGATGAGGTCTCACTATGTTGCCTAGGCTGACTGGTCCTGAACTCCTGAGCTCAAGTGATCCTCCTGTCTTGGCCTCCTAAAGTGCTGGGATAACAGGAATGAGCCACCGCACCTGCCCACCCCCACACTAACTTTTTTGTAGATTCCATTGGGTTTTTCATATAGTCAGTCATGTCTGTAAATAAAAAGTTTTTCTTCCTTTCTAGTTTGGATGTCTTTTTTTTTTTTTTCTTGCTTGATTTCACTGGCTACTCCAGTATAATGTTGAATAGAGGTGGTTGAAAGCAACGTCCTTGTCTCGTTTCTAATCTTAGGGGAAAACATTTAATTTTTAGCCATTAAGTTATAATGATAGCTGTTGGTTTTGTGTAAATTCTGTATCAAATTGAGCTTGATTCCTTCTATTCCTAGCTTGTTTAGATCTTTTTTCAGGAATCGATGTAAAAATTCATTCTGTCACGTGTTATTTCTGTGTCTTACTGAGATGATTTTTCTTTTTAACTTTGTTAATGTGAATTACATCATGAGGGACATTGTTTTCTTTCTCATTAAAAAAATTTTTTTGAGAGTGGATCCCACTGTGTTGCCCAGGCTGGTCTCAATCTCCTGGGCTTCAGTGATTCTCCTGCTTCAGCCTTCCAAGTAGTTGAGATTACAGGCATGCACCATCATGCCTAACACTGTTTTCTTTAATGTTTTTTTTTTTTTTTTTTTGCATTCTATCTTTTGCATTGATAGAACTATCAAGTCTCATAGGATGAATTGGGAAGTCTTTTCTCCTCATATTTTTGGAAGAGTTGTGTAGAACTGATTTTTTTTTTTTTTACTGTCAGTGTTGGAATTCATTAATGAAGCCATCTGGACCTGGTGTTTTTTGTGGGAGAATTTTAAACAAGGCTTCAATTTTTAAAGTAGATATAGAGTTATTCATATTACCTTTTTTTTTGGTAAGCTTTGGTAGTTTGTATCTTTCAAGAAATTTGCTTAATCTAAGTTACCATATTTATTGTCATAAAGTTTTATATAATAGTCCCTTATTGGGAACTGCTGCGGCTACCACCGCTGCCGCTGGCTCTGCAGCTGTAGGGGACCCGTGCTGGTATGCAGGTGAAAGGCACTCTTTGCCTGCTGAAAGTTCCCACGGAAAAACTACCATCTCCTCAGCTCACCATGGTGTACGAAACTGATTTAACTACCGGAGATGCTGGGGCTTCCAGCACTTACCCTATGCAGTGCTCGACCTTGCGCAAAAGTGGCTTCATGGTGTTCAAAGGACAACCATGCAAAATAGTGAAGATGTCAACTTCCAAAACTGGAAAACGTGGTCGTGCCAAGGTTCACCTTGTTGGAATTGCTATTTTCATGGGCAAAAAAAAAAAAAAAAAAAGATATTTGTCCTTCTGTTCACAACATGGGTGTTCCAAATATTCAGACACATGATATCAACTGATACGCATTCAAGATAGTTGCGTTCCCCTGCCGACAGAAACCGATGAAGTTCCTGAGGATCTTAAACTGCCAGAAGGTGAAGTAGGCAAATAAATACAAGGAAAATACAATGCAGGTGAAGATGTGTCTGTCATGTGTGCAATGAGTGAAGAATATGCTGTAGCCATAAAACCCTGCAAATAAATGGGAGCCTTGACCTCCCTGGCTTAAGCAATTCTCCCACCTCACCCTTCCAAGTAGGTGGTATTATACGCATGTACCACCACGCCTGCCTTATTTTTGTATTTTTTGTAGAGACAGAGTTTTACCATGTTGCCCAGGCTGGTCTTGAGCTCGCAGGCTCAAGTGATCCACCTGCTTTGTGCTAGAATTACAGGCTTTTAAAGTGCTAGAATTAC